GGTGTGCCATCTCCCCTCCCCACGTCTCACGACTCCCGCTGTCAGGGGCGGTCAAGGCCGTTGATTCTTGCCTGCCGGCGGCGGTCCCCGGGGGTGCTCCCGCTGAGCTACTAAATGAAGCAGGGCAGTTAGCATCTTGCTGTATCAGACTACCTAACGTTAGGAGTTGGACTTACAGAGGGGCGGGCACCTGCGGGGGATCCGCCGCGCATTGGCGGCCTGACCCTGACCAGCGGGAGGAGACGCAACATTGGGGAGGGGAGATGGCACACCACACGGGTTGGGTTGGGGTTGTGGCAGTTATCGGGGCAGTGCTGTTGGTCGCCGGATACATATTTATCCAAGCGGTAAAGGTGTTCCATACATCTTTATAAACATCAATATAACAGCGTCATCCCAATTCTATCATTCGTTTGTGACTAGATCTCCTTCCCTTACCTAAGTTTAGCAAAGACTAGGTAAGTTGAGTAAAGACCAGGTAAGTTATGTAAAGGCTAGGTAAGTTTAGAGCATCTTTATAGAGCCTTAGAACAGTTTATTCTGGCACCCTAATTTAATGTGAGAGGTTGTTCCTTGGCAAGATCCAGATATCACCGTGTTCCACTGATCCTCACCACCATTCACTGACTTTCATCGCTGTGATTCGAGAGCTCGCTGCTCGTACAGATTTGACCGCGGATTTCAGGAGAAGAAATGTTAAAACAGGCATCTGTTGACCCGTTCTACAAAGTTTGATACAATTTTGTCACTTCCAATAGTAGTGAACAGCCTGTTTCTGGCTACCAAAGAAAGGTAGTCGGGATATTGAAGACATTTTTCCTGTCCTGTAGCAAGGCACTGAATACGTCATTGGGCATAAATACAATTAAAGAGCCCAATGCGCAATCCTATGTACATTTTGCTTACAACCTGGATAACGACATATCCGTGTCTGCTACAGCCTGAATGCAATATGCACATGGTGACATGCACATGTTTCAGATTCTACTCCCGTGTGATTCGCCAGCTTACTATAATAGATGTGACTCCTCTTACCATGCAGGTAAGATATTTTAAAGGGCGGTCTGCCCTCGCAGCCTGATATGATTGTCGCCCTCATTTCACCGCGAAGATCCGAACACTTGATGACAAACGCGCCAGGACAAGACTCCATCCTCACAAAATGCCTGTAAAAGCGAGATATGATCACCGCAAGCGCATGCTACCGATCTCAACAATAAGTTATGTCAGGGGCTTTCGACAATATCCCGTGAATTTTTGGCTATGTACACTTCTGTTATTTCTCGTGGAGCTCGGTTGTGCGATCCTTGCTGCTCCTTCGCCAATGCTTCTAGAGACAGCTGTCTGCCGGCACCATTTTGAGAAAGATAGACAACTTCTTGACGGAGAGCCAACCGATGAGTTTTGCAGGAGCAAGGAGGTACAAGTGCACTTCGCATTCGTGATAACCGTGCTGTCAACACTGTCGACATTAGCTGGTATGCAAATTCGCGACAGCCCTCCAAGGCAAAAGCTGACGGTGCAAAGCGACGATGATGCAAGTCCCCATGGGAATGCTTGGGGACAAAGGCGGCATTAGGCTTGCCTTCATGCTGAATGCCACCAGTAATGTCTTATACTGGGGATTCATAGTAATAGTAGGTATGATGTCCCTCATCGCACTCGAAGTAGGTCTACTCATCGTGATAGGATCGCAGCAGAGTTTTCCACTCTGGGGATTCTATCTCTCGCCAGCATTCATACTCTTCGGAGGAGGGCCATGGGTAACTGGCACACTTGTTTTCGCTGCCGTTAGCGATAGTGTCAAGCCGGAACAAAGGTATGCTCCAACCCTCATTATTTGAAGCCCCAGAACTGACCTGGTCGCCATAGAACAGCGGCCTTCTCGATTATGGAAGCGATATCAGGGATCGCGGACCTTCTAGGGCCAATTATTGGCACAATGACGATGACCATTCACCTCGGGATTCCGTTTGCTATCGCACTCGTGGTCTTCTGTTTGATGTTTCTTCCAGCGAGCCATCTCCGTGAAACTACAGTGAGCGACATGGAGGGCGTTGGGTCGTCACCAGTTGAGACCGAGTCACTTCTTAGTGTCGATAGCGCTTCAGATTGCGAGGACACCGACCTAGAGCACACTGCTAGAGACCTACTCCCTCCACGAGCCGTCATATTCAGTATATGTTTTATCTGCTTCTTCTTCTTCCAGGTAGCAAGGGACTCCACGAACTATCTAATCCCTTGGGTATCTCTACGATTTGGAGAGACCATGGCCCGGGTAGGCTCCCTCACTTAACTGATAATGTTATAATTGACCATGTCACAGGCCGGGCTTCTGTTCTCACTACGCGCAATCATGTCATCTCTTCTATACTTCGTTATCTTGCCGCTTGCAACCTCGTGGTTAGACCGGAGTCGGCCAAGTGCAAACAGAGATCTTACGCTTTCTGCATCTGGTGCTTTTTGCTGTACATTGGGCACCCTTGTTGTCGCAGCCGCACCAAACCTTGCGACAGTTGCTTTTGGATTTGCACTATCGGTTCTGGGATCAAGCATGACCGTCACATTGCGATCATTCCTTGCTTCTAATGTGCAGAATGCCTTTTCGGGGCGATTGTTCGCGGTTGTCTCTATGACCGGGACTATTGGTAGCCTCATTGGCATGCCCATCATGGGAGCTGCCTATTCTTTGGGCATCAACTACGATATTGGGCTTCCATTCTTGGTTTCAGCAGTAAGTCACATCGAGTCAGCATGCAATCCAGTCGTGGCGAGCTAACATGGCCTCAGCTGTCGTATTTTCTCGTACTTGGACTCCTTGTATGGCTTGCATCAAAGATCTGATACAGTGAGGGAGACGGTGGGTGCCAACGCTAAAGGGCTACAAGCGTCAAGAAAGTTCTTTATGAACATCAAGCAACTATTCACTGAATCAAAAATCGTCTCGAAATCACATGGATATGTTCTGACTAGCTGAACTAGCCACACTCATACTTGTCATAGTGTGGTTATACATGCTTTGGACAGACCCAACAAGCCCGGGCAAGTTTGATCGTGGAATCATTCAGGCCACTCTTGCAATCAAACGACCAGACAGACGGACTATGGCTTGGGGTGAGGTCAACGCTGAGGTCCTCAGGCCTAGAGGCAGGTACAGTGAAGTTGACACGGCCTCGATTCTTCTCGATGCGTCCGACGATTTCATCTTCGCCAATGACACAGATTCCCAAGACATCCAAGAGGTTTGTCTCGGCCAAAAAGGCACGAAGCCGTTCCACAAACCCATTGGGCAAGGGGACGTCCTTGTTCTCTTCTTGACCAGGATGATTGAAGCCAAACTCATATGGCTCCAGCATATCATCCCAAAAGCGCCAGGACCGTGGGACTAGGTAGCCTCCAGCCATTCTACCATCTGGAGGAACAGGCCAAGGGGTTGAAACGTGGCCGAATTCCACAACACGTTCACCTTCTTCAATGGAGAAGTGTTTGTGAAGAAGGGCGAGGCCAACTGTGTCAGTAACCTCAAATTGCTGAAAGATATCTCTGCATTGATCATGAGAAGGAATACCTGGCAAACATCAATTGGATGGCCTCACCTCAGTTCTGCCAGGTCAGATCTGTCTCCAAGCTTGGCCAAACGTTCGCTCAGAAGTTTGTTGGACTGGCCCAGTGTGGACAAGCTGTTGAATACGTCAATGTGCCACATGTTGGTGAGCTATTATGCAAATAGAGAATGTGCGAATTATTGGGAACCCTGAAGTTGGCAGTTGATTCGGTTTAGCTAATGTTGAAACTTTCCGATAGCGTTAGAACGAGGGCCTCGATACATCATATTTTATGGCCTCATCCTATGAGGCTCTCAGCCTGGAGTTCATTGCATCCATTTCATCCCACGTACATCAGCAGTTGACCATCCAACTCTGTTGATAGCCCCTCCATAGATCAATAATTTGCCGGCTATATGCTGTAATTCGACCACTCATATCCATCAGCTATATCCGATGCCTTACTTGAGGCCTACCCTCCGCATGGCTTGTATGACATCAAGCTCCATGCGGAGCCTCAATCTCGAGTACGTATTGTATCTGGTAACTATGAAACTGGTCGAAGATGTTGTGGCCTGGCCGCTTTACATCGGATCATGAGGCTCCAAGATCGATTTATGCATGGTACATGTATCTTATCCTCGGGTAGCGCAGAAGCTTCCGATATTGAATCAAAGAACCAGAATAAAATGGCCCAAGGCCTACAAAGACCTACCAAAATTGTCTAAGTATTTTCGTCACTTCAGAAGAGGTACTCGGGCCAACGGATACATGTACAAAAGACTGATGGAGTGATGGGCATCCATTTATCCTGATTCCAGGCTGATCCATGCAGCGTTCCCCTGCACACCGACTTTAAAAAATGTGCCCGCGTCAGCGTTTGCTGAGTGGCTTTGCACAGCCTCGTTTCGAAGCGCGCAACATATGCACGGCGGCATCATTGTTGTTTGGGGCCTGAATATTGTCATTTTCTGCATGATATAGTCCCTTTGCTAGGCCGTTTTAGCATTGAGCTCAAACCTTAAATAAAACAGATTTAAGACGGAAGTTTCCAATTTTCCAGGTCTTCTCTGGTCCTCGAAACCGGTCTGACGCTCGAGAAAGGTGAGATGATTTCATCCTTGGTTGTGTAACACACCAAGACAACATATTGCTTATTCTGGCTCCTTGCAGCTACCCAACGCATCGATGTGCAAAAGTCATATCACATGCAATAAGCCGCCTTGAGACATACATGCCGTTAATCTCAACCAAACGGAGGATGAGCTCCGTTTCGATCATGTTCTGCAAGTGAGCAGCCTCCGAAGGTCTTCCAACCTGACACTGTCACGCCTTGCATTCTTTCTTGTATATCAATGGATTAAGGAGCATCACATGGTAAAAATAAATGCTACAGGAAATCACTGAGGAGCTTGCGACTGCAGTGAGTGCTACCAACCATCCGACATGTGTAAAGCGTTCACAGGCAGTTTCACCGACTTGGTCTAACCATCACACAACTTTCTCATTCACACTTGCTGTCAATTAGCCATGTCACATCATTATTCACCTAAGTCAAGTGTAATCTCCGGTCCCGGTGGGGGTACTCGATCTGCGAGTGACGTATGCGATAACACTGAACCGTTCAGTTACGGGAATGGTGATTCCCGCCGAGACCATGTCCGCTTTGCCGCTGAACTGGGCAGCGCCGTTGAAGAAACTGTTACATCAATTGTAACAAGACATGGCGGTTCTGGTGTTGACAAGAGCCTTGCCTGGGAAACCATCCAGAGTCTCGCAAGGTCCAAGCTTGATGGACTCACAGGCAACCTGATAGCACAAGGGACCCAAGGCTTTTACACTTCTAATGTAGGTATCAGTTAGATCTAGGTTAATATAGCACTAATAATTTGCCAGAACTTTGTATCTGCAGCTGGCGCCTCGCTTTTCTCTCCTGAAAATGCCGACTTTATGAACCACGATGTCCCATTCATGACAGACTTGGGCGCATTCTTCCCTGATGATCAGCCTCTTGGCCTCGAAGATTTTCAGACTCTGGAAGTTCCAGACTTCGGACATGCCATCTATGATGATGGACCCTTTTCACAGATGCCCATTTCAACTCCCTCGTCCGGAACTATTACTCTCCCGGCTAATAGTCCATCCTTACAAGATCCGTGGCCTGATGGAATTTCCGTTGAGTCTTCTGCGACGGGAAGTACACACACTATCACAACTAGTCCAGCCCCTAGACACCATGTTGTAGCGCCTCAACACGCGGGACAAGGACTCGCGATTCCTCAAGCACGTCACGATGGTTCTAGGCCCCAGAGAAGCTTTAGACCTCCTTCCAAGCGTTCTGTAGCCCAAGCCGATCGCTTAGCGCAAAGTAACACCGCAAAACTATCAGATAAGCGCTCTAGGCTTGGAAGACCTTGTCAACGACCTAGTTGTGTTCGTTGTAAAATTCAGAAAAGAAAAGTGAGTGACGAACCCTCGAAGTATTGCAGAGGGCTAACAAACGCATAGTGCCATGGAAACGCAAAGGCTTGCGAGTCTTGTCTGTCATCTAGGTATCGGGATCTCTGTGTTCCCGCAGATTTCAAAGGGTTGCGAACTCTACTTCATAGTCAGTCATCAAGTTTATCAGAAGGTTCAGTACTAAAATGTTGTAGGCTTGTACCAAACACGTATCCAATCTTTACTCGACAATGTCGCTGGATGGTTCCCGATAGAGCCTTCTAATACAGTAACTATCGAAATCTCAAATGGATTTATACCAACGTTACAAGTGACATTGAAGCCGTACATCCCCTTCAACCGGGATGCTCTAACTCATGTCCTGTTTCGCGGGACTGAAGCTGGCATGATAACTCCGCGGGCTGAAAGCACGGCGTATTCTTTGGAAGACGGTACTCTCAACCCGGAGAAGATTGACACCTATTGTGATAGTCTTGCATTCGATCTAGCACTGAACGAAGGAAGACAAACAGCGGACAGGAATAGACTGGCAAGCCATATTCTTATGTTTGCTACTACACAATGTGCAGAGCTTCAAGAAGTATCGAGCATCGAAGGGGTATGTAACTGGATCGTTGGTCATCTTGGCATAAATGAAGCCCTGGGAGGATAATTTCAACTAACTTGGCATGCAGATCGACTTGGTACAGCTTGCCCTGCGATTTTGGGCCATGCAGGCTGTGTTTTTCAAGTTTCCCTGGACGATAGAGAAAGGTGCTTCAAAGATCGGCATGCGGCCCCTGGATATCCCTGGATGCTGGTTTGGAAAGACGCTACTCCCGCGACTTGTCAACCAACAGCTCGACAGGGCCTTCGAGATCCGTATGGATGAACTGGAGCGAGAGATCCTTGAACGGCTTCAAGAGATGATCCTCTGCCGTGACCGAAGCACGTACTGGTTTGCCATATTCCTAACAACATTTATACTATTACATAGTCTGGAGAAAGACTCATGGAACATGCACGCGTGGGAGTACGAGAAGAACCGTGAAGGGGGAACTCGCTGGCCTCTGCGAAGAGATCCGTGTGATTACTATGGCCAGAACAAACATATCGCGGATACACTGACAACATATTTCCGTATTGTGACGAATGGGCATGCGCCGTTTACCTTGGACTGGACAAAGGCTTCAAATAAAGGACTTCTGGGTGAGAGTTTGCATACTCGATCACTGATTGAGGGCATTCAGGAGGATCTTCAGAGTCCCCAGTCCAGTGAGTAATCTTCCCCTCAGAGAAATGGCATATGCTAATCGAAGAACAGCCTACAGGGGGGAGCTGGACGTCGCAAATGAGTTCCGAAGAGATGATGTTGAGAGCTTGAACTATCACTACACCAAGAGATTAATTTTGGGTTAGACTCAAACCCCATTCTTATTTTATAAACATATAAACTATAGAACCATATGTTCACATTAAAAGTCAGTAATTAAAACACTGCTGTGACGCCTTATTCTTCTCTTTATTCACTACCCTCGCCATTCAGGTGGCGGGCGATGATACGTTCATCTAACTAGCAGTCATCACAAAACGCCCCTGTAAACGTGCATGAACCCTGTAAAGCTGCGATACTATCGGGTGGATCTGCGGGTAACCGATCTTAGCTCAGGGGCAAGGCAGAATTGCTGTTTGGTACTTACGTATTGTACTGTATATTCACTCTGTAATATGGGTATCTTTTCGCAATAAATTCAAGCCCAACCAAATTGCTTCATCAAAAATCCTCATCTTGTTTTCCTGGTATGAGGGGGCCTCAGCACCTCAGCTGACAGACAGTTGGTGGCTGGTGAGACAAAGCCAGTCACAGCTTTTCCTTTGGCATGCTCTCATTTGTGCTTCGGCGTCGCGTGTAGGGAAAAGGGTCGTCACCGCTCCGAAGCCACATCGAGATTGGAGTGTCATGCTCCGAGAGCAACTTCAGACTGTGTAACGCGACGCGTGTGATCTTTTCCTTGGAGCTCTTCGAATCAGGCTGCGATGATGGTCAGCACAATGGCTACACAAACGGATGCACGCCGCTGACCTGTTTATTGACATATTCCGTTGTCTCACTCATTTTTGTGATAGATCAGGTAACAGTGTGGTTTTTTAACTGGCTGGGTATTTGCAGTTTCGTTGGTATTCAGAAATGATCCAAATTATTGCTTCTTTACAGTAACAAGGGAGCCAGCTACTAACGCAGCTCTCTTATATCATTATCCATCCTCATACTCATCGCCCTGCCAGAGTTCTATCTTCTTAGCGTCGGAAAGTACGAAAAGTCTATATATTCTAATGTTTTCCGTTTGACTTTCCGACTTTTTTTTTTTTTTTTTTTGAAGCTGCGTGAAGGGGGCCATCAAGAACTGGATTGCGGAAATTCAGTCATGTCTAACACAACCCTGATCGATCCTTCGCACCTCTGATTCGCCTGTTTCCATCACCCTGCATACCTACTTGAATGTGACATCGGACAACGTGCTGCATTGTTCACTCTGCAGCTGATATCCTTGTCTGTGTGACATCCATTCTGATTATTGTCTTTCCCGAGGTTCGCTGAGTCGTTGCAATTGCTCCCCCAGAAAATCAAGGGCGGCCTCATATCTCCCCCATTTCCGAGGTCTTTACCCAATAAACTTTCCCTCCTACTTGTCCCTTTCCGCTGACATCAGTGCTCTCGCCCGGTAAATACGCAAGAATGCCTTGCGATCAATTGATTCCACGTCTTGCTAGCTCACTCCTGTAAACATGATGCGGTCCGATACGAAATCCGCCTGCTTGGCATTGGTCTTCTTGGGTCTCATGACTTTAGCCGACTCCATCACCGACAGTCTTCTCCCCGCTCTCGCTGATGACGCTCACACCCAATCAGGCCACTGGAATCTAGGCACTGCGGCTCTTGTGCTCAAAGGCGTGTCTGGTGAGTTGGCGCTTCACGTTTAGCGAGCGATATTGCCTGCGAAATGTGGCTTATTACTGACACAAGGCACAGATATTATTGGCCAATTTGTGATTGGCTATGTTCTCAACACCAGGTCCAAGCATCATGCCATGAATCTTAACGCCACGAGTATCCTTGTCGCCAGTCTCGTCACCTTGTTGAGCTGTATGCAGATACCAAACAAACAGTTCGTCCACAAACTCAAAACTAACAATAGCAATAGTATGCTACGAACAACAGTGGCCTATCTTGGTTGCTGTAGTGGGCCCTCTAGTAAGATGTATCGCAGGAGGGTCTCATGCCTCAGCATTTCTCATACTCTCTATACTCCATGATCAAGCCCCCACTCATTACCGGTCTGTTCCCCCATCCTTCACATCCAGATGGACATGACTTTATACTAATGGGTTTTCAGGTTTGCAAGTTACTACTGCACAGGAGCTGTTTCAGTCGTAGCTCAGTCTCTAGGTCCATTCTTTGCCTCTAAACTTGCTGATTCCAGTCACCTCTTGCCTGGGATACTGTCCGGAACCTGTTGCCTTATTGGTTTTGGGATTGCTGATTCCATGAAGTCTGCGCATTGCGAGAGCAACAATTCTAGTCATGATGAGTCCACTTCCTTGCTGCCTAATCACCAACACGATGTTGAGCCTAAGAGCCTCGATATTTCGGTGACGGAGTACTTATCTAGATGCTTTGGCAAGAAGTCTCTGATCAAAACTTCAAGTCTTGTATTTCTGCCACAAGTGCTTTTCCTCATGGCTATTTGCAAATCAACTCGACCGCTTTTCAAAGCATACATTCAGCATCGAGATGACGTTAGTCCTGCCGAGGTGCGTAAGCGAAGTTCTACTCCGATTTCAAACTCATAACTCTTGTATCTAGGCCGAAGCTTTGTGGCTTCTCCGTAGTGTCATGAGCGTTGTTATCTTTGGCATCATCCTACCAGGCATTGTTCTGCACACTGCACCGAGTGTCCCATATCCTAACAGTGTCAACCTTCACGCCGCCCGAATCAGCGTTTTATTTATCTCCATTGGTGCTTTCATGATAGGTCTATCAGGGTCTCTGCGCTCCATTACAGCAGGTAAGTCGTACCCAAAGGCTAAAAATGTCACTTTCTGAAACCATTGCAAGCCCTTGTGATAAATACTCTGGGTGTTGCAACTGATCTGAGCCTGCTTGCCTTTGCATCGAGTGGCTTTAGCAGCTCTGATGCAGGAACTGTCATGATGACTTTGGCATCGATCGAGAGCGCTGGAACATTGCTCGGGATTGGTGTTTTATACCCTATCTATCAGTGGAGTATTAACGAAGACCTACCATTTCTGGTAGGGGGCGTTCCTTACTACATATGTGGGGTGAGTATATGCACTTCAAGTCTATGCAACCTACCTGCTGAATCCAACTACAGTCTCTTTACGCCGTCACTGCCGTAATTGTGTGGTCTTCAAGAACGAGAAGCCAAGCTACTGAGTCATGATCTGAGGTACGTAGGAGCACCCTCACAAGAATTGTGCTAACAGATATTCTCCGCACTGCAGGGGGTCCCGTAATCCTATGCACGCAAGGTCTTGAGTCTCATCATGAGGAAGATATTGATCAACAAACCTTGCAATTACGTGATGAATTTTCGGAGCCGGATTGTTCAGATAGTCCTATCTCGGAGTAGAATGGCCAAACGGACCAATTTGGAATTTGGAGGCTAATGACAAAAATGGTGGCGTGATGAGGTACCAAGTTGGCAGGCAGGGTTTACAGGACTGCAGACCGAGGTACTTGATAACTTGTTTCCTATTTCATGTAAAATTACAGAAGTTGGTGTCTGTTCTCCTCGTTCAGCCTGAAAATCACCGGCTATAAACAATATCAGGGGCTAAATTAGCCGTTCTTGAAAATCAACTAGCCGAATCATTTTGCTGCTACCGTGGACCTGACCTGAGATCAGGGTTGGCATTTAGTATACTAATACTAATACTAGCCTAGTATTAGTATACTAATCCTTTTTAAAATACTAACTAATACTAATACTAGTTTTTTTAGTATATACTAATACTAATACTAA